AAAGAACAGCACGCAGGAGGGACACCGACACCATCAATCCTTCCCTCGTGACCTAAGGCCGATTCCAACCCGATCCTCCAGGACAGAAGACCAGAAGGCAGCAACCCGCTGACACTCAGCAGGCCTGGGGAGGCAGGTGTCCTCCAGCCGGCAAAACTTGTGCACGAAAATCCAGACAGTGAGATAAAATTAAGCAGTGGGATAATTCATTGCTCAGAATTTACTAATATGCAACCTAGGAAGAGCACCAAGGGCCATAAACATTTCAAGGCACTTCGCAGTGTTTTATCACTGTATTAGAGTACTTGCCTTTTAACATTTATTTAAGAAAATAAACTTCTGCACAGTAGTTTCCTGGGAAGAAATAAATTAGTGTGTTCTGACCAGCCGCAGCACAAGCACCTTCGTGTTGGAGGTACACAGAGCAAAGCCTACGCACATTTTTACCCATCTGATGCATGTGCAGAATGATCCGAACATGGAAGGGGAAGGATGAACTTGATGCTAAGGTGTCAGTCTGAGACTCAGACGTGGCTCAGCTCCTCTCTCTGCCTCTGTCTGCCTGCGTGACCACAGGCCCCTCACTTAACCTCGCTGTGTCTCAGCTCTGTGGCTATGAACACGCAGCAAAACCGCTCCCCTCGGCTGCCCAGATTAATTCCCATTGTGCTTAAAAAGCAGGCAAAATGGTTCCACGCACAGAGGGAGGCAATTTGACATTTCCGACGAGATAAAACCACACTAAAGAGCTTACAATGCAAGGGCTCAACCCCGGCAGACTCCCAGTACCCTCTCTATCCACTAAACCCATCTCCTGCAGTCAGCAGCACGTTACCCTTGCCACCCAATGGCACAGTCAACTGCGATTTGCTTAATCACCGGCGGCAGTCGTGTCCTGGCTGCAGGATGAGGTCCCAGCAGCCGAGCAGACTACGTCGGGGCTCAATCCGGCCCTGGAGCTTTTCAACTTGGAGGAGAACTTGCAACAGGCTGAAGGAATCCTCCCGCTGGGCCTGAGGACCGTGTGCTAACGAGGCTGTATCCCCACTCATATTTTAGCTTGGCAGGTCTGGTGCTCCTTTCATCTTTTGCTTCAGGTAGCTCTCTTTAATTAATAACATTTCTGTGCCGGCGCAGGGAACTTTCCACCCAGAATGAATGGCCCTCTCTCATTAGAACCACGACTGTCATGATGTATTCAGGAGCAGGAGCGTGATTCATTCCCCTGTCTGGGAACGCGGGGTGCTGCTGGGGGGTGGCGGGGAGAAGAGTCTCTGTAATGAGTGACGGAGGTTTGCTGAAGTTGATGTGCGACTCTGGCGGCTTGAACTGCCTTGTCAGGACAAGCCTTCAGAAAGGTGATGTTCCTACTCAAGAGGTTTTCCTCATTAAAGAAATTGCATCTTAACAAGAGGGAAGAAGGGGAGGGGCGGCAGGAGAGCTGCTGTCTCCCCGACTCCAGCCTGGTTCATGCGAAGCCGGAGCTGAAAGCTGGCTGATGGCAGCGCAGCCGGCAGAGATCAGCACTCCTTTTCTGAGCCCTCGTGCAGCAGCCAAATCCCCCACCAGTGATTTTCTCTCTTGCATCGCACCAGACCCATGAAGAAGTCACTGGTGGCAGGGCCGAGGACCTCAACTCATGCCTCCGTGAGCCCTTCCCAGGTGCTCGTGTCCCCTTCCCTGCACCCAGCTCCGTGTGCTCCCTGCTGCCAGAGGGAACCTGGGCAGACACAGCTCTGTGATCTTCCACAAAAGCTCCAACGTTCAACAAAAATCAAGTCTGCAGCCACAGTGCCTCATTCCCTGAAGATTCTTGAGCCAAGCAAAAGCTTCACAGGTCCTTTAGCAGCTGAGTGTCCATCCTGAATGCTGCAGACCCAGACACTGCTAGAGACCATCAGCAGAGCGCAGTACCTTGACAGTCACTGTTTCTCTTGTGCTTTTCTTTGAGCTAGAAGTGCTACACACGTTGCAGCAGGGTTATGTCCTCACTTCCACCACTGACAGGCTGGAAGGTTCCTCCTGTGTTCCAGCCCATGCTCCCCATCCAGCTTGCTCACCCCGCTGCGCTTCCCAGTGCCCTGGCACCTGCTGGAAACACCCACAGTAGACAGACCTGTCCAAAAAATACCATTTCCAGCTCCTGAAGAGCACATGCAGACTGAAGCCAACCTGCCCAGGTCTCTGCTGGAGAAGCCAGGAACAAGGCTGCACGGTTTGCCACCAGCAGCCGAGCTGAAGACAATGGAGAACAGGAGCTACAAACCACAGGAGCCTCTGGTAAGAGGAGCACAGCTTGCTTCGTGGACAGCTACATAAGCAGCTGTCACTGCTAAGGGAAGGAAGCTGAGAAAAAGAGCAGAGTCAGGAATGGACCTGCCCCAAATCACTGCTCCCCAGGCCAGGAAGCACTGCAGCAACACACAGACCTTTGTAGGCAGCGGCTCTTCAGCATGGGGCAGCATCGTGCTGTGGAGGAAGCACCAGTGCCGTGCCTTCAGCCTCGGAGGGCTGAGGACAGCACATGGACCCTGAAACCTCACACGAGGGGCAGACGGATTGGATTTCAGTGTCCCCACTCCCCATGAACACTGTGGGCAAGCACTCAGAGCAGATGCCAGAGGTGTATCTTCACCTCAGAGCAATGGCCTTACCATTCCGGGTACATTTCACCTTCGTTTTCCAGAATCCCTCTGGAACCCAGAGGGGTTTTTATTGTGCAACACTTCCAAGGACACACTTGGGCAGGCAGCATCGCCTCCCCTCTCGCTGCCCCAGCGCCTTCAGTGCCAGGCGTGTGGTCTCCACGCAGCCACAAGTCTTTTAGGGAAGTCCAGGGTAATTCCCTGGAATACTTCCTAGATGTTCCACCTCTCTGCGGATGTATCTATCTCCCTGTCTGAGCAGCCTCGTTTCAGCTCCGTGCCTTCCCTCTTTCAAAAGAGATGCTCAGTTCTGCTTTGCTAAACCCTATTTGGCAATGTGTCTAAACACACGCAAACTTAATTAGTTCAGGAGGGAGACTCGGCATTTGTGGTGACGGATAAAAGTAATGGGAAATGAGACAAGTCAGAGCTGGCAGGGAGTCCTCACTCAAGCCTCGTTCGCTGGCACGGCGCTAATCAGATGTGACGCTACACGCTGCTGCACCCAATCGGCGGCGGAGCGGCGCGATGCGCTCCTCTCCGAGCGGCTGCAGCCAGGCTCCCTGCATCCGTCTGGTTGGAAACATGAAATTTATTTTCTGCTCTGCCCTGGAGACGCTTCCGGATTGAATCCTGGAGTTAATGGTTTAAAAAAAATTTTTTAAAAGGAAGAGGGAGAAACGAACCGCTCACTGAAGCCTCATGGCCAGGAGTGGAGTCTTCTTTTCCAGCTGACTAGTGAGGCACAATCCATGCGAGAGACCACTGAAAATGGTGAATCAAGTATCTTGGGCCCAGATCTGCGTGTCCTGCTGGGCCAGCTCACCCCACAACCTCCACAGCTCACCAGAAAGAGGACCCAGCTTCACTTCTGTTTCCCCTACTACACAGCTCTGAAGCAGGAAAAAAAAAGAAGGTTGCCCATCCCATGCAGACACTGAGTTAGGATGTCATTACCTGGGAACCTCGTTATCCCACTGTGAAAGGGATGGAAAGATGGGCTTTGAGCAGATGCAAATTACAACTCTATTCCTCACAACCCTCACTGAAAGCAGTAATTTGGACTCTCAGAACAGCGATACAACAGTAAAGAGCTGAGAAAAGAGAACAGGTGAGAAACAGAAGTGTAGCACATCCTTGCAGCTGTTTTTGTGTTGGTCTCTAACAAGAGTTAGAGTACAATATACAAAGAAAAATATGTATTAATTCAAAGCAGAGACAAAGGAATTGGCAATATAACTCAGACACTGGTTCTGGTCATGGCCTCAGCAGAGACCCAGTAAATTCTGACTCAAAAGAGCATGGCAAATTTCTCATCTCCACCAGCGCTTGTGCTGCTGCTCCCATCCTTGTATCTCATGTCTCACTAATCACACCAAGAAGAAGTAAGGAGCTGCCACTCTACAAAGACCACTCTGCAGGGAGAAAACCAGTGCTGATTGCTCCCAGGCTGTGTGCAGTTTATTTAGGCTTCCAAGCTGGGGAAACCAATGTCACAGGGAACACCAAGTAACACTACTAACGAGTTGTGGATGTCAGCTTAGCATTGTACGTGTCAAGTCCAGGCTTTACCAGGGTGATAACAACAGGGGTCTTTACCCGGCACGGTGAGGAAATGAAAAGCTGAAGTGAGATTATAGCAGTCCAAGTGAATTCAGCACAGTATGACACTGATCTGCAAATATCTTACAGATTAGATTAATTTAATTCTTAAACACAATTCCACTTTATTTTTAATCCCATTTTCAGGATGCTGGTCTAGCTGTTTTGGCAACGAAACATGCGCATACACCAAGACTTGTAGATCCCAGTCCCCACCTGGTGCTTTCTCGATCCCAGTCACCCTGCTGATGGACATGACCTTAACGACAAGAGCACCGATGAAGCGTGCCAGGCTTGGCTCGGACTCTTTCCAAAGGCTACTCTGATTCACATCCAGTTAACGTGCCAAGATGACAGAGAGAAGGCCTTGCATGTCAAAGTCAGGTAAGGGCCACTGCTTGATTTGGGCGTACAGTAATGGTGTTCATTCATGCGCTCAGATACCCATCCCTTTGGAAAATACATTGGATAAAACCAGAAAACATTACAAAGCCCCGGTTTAAACCTTTCTTGGGGTTATGAAAGGATTCATTTGCTAGAGGGATTATCCTAGGCAGTGATCTGGCACTATGCCTAGCACCTACCTGTCTTCTTAAACAACCCTCCACTCCCAATTATGCACGGCAAACAACGATTTCCCTGAAAAACAAAGACTAGGGACAGTCGGAGGCTTGCAAGAACAAAGACATCCACACTACAGGCAAGCATGGAGCAGTAAAGCCCAGAAAAATCTCCCTCCCCTTCCATACTCACATCACTTTCAAATCCCAGTCTCCACAGGTCACAAAAATCGACTTGACGCTGGGATCTAAGAGGCCTTCCTTCGCCATCCACTCGTCAACCCTCTGAAAGGAAGGCAAGAAAAGGGGATGAGTTTTGCAGAGACAGGCCGAGCCACAACAGTTAAACTCAGATAAGCTGCTTGCAATCAAGAGAGAAGAAAATTGTGATCTTATCCACCCCTCTCCCTCTCTCTCTCTCCTCTCTTTGCTTGCCATCTGAACAACAGCACGTTTGGACCTTTGAAGATTTCTGATAGGAGACATCAGGCAACCAGAGCGGAGATGATCTTATCAGACATCGCAGCCGCGCTGCTTGCAGAGGGATGGAAGTTGTGCAGCGTTACCGGGATGATACAGCCCTGCTGTTACTTGCCATACCTCTGCTTCAGCTCTCCCTGGACCAAATGGGCTTGTGCTAAGTAGAACCTGTGTCCTCTCCAGCCAAGAGGAGCACGCTCATTTCTTGAAGCTCTCCAGCGTGGCCTGGGGGAGGGAAGCCAAAGCAAGAGGCTCCACTGTGGCTCTCCAGGCATCAGGCTGGGAACTGAGAGGAATCAGGCAGCAAAACAGAATTGAGAGATTCTGACTACCTGCTTTGATAGCCACTGGAAGCAGGTGACAGGCTGCAACTCTGCAGCCTCGCCAGCAGCATTTCCAGTGCTTCAGCAGGAGAAATCTCTCCTCTTCCCATCACTCGACACCTTCAGCTCCTGAACAAACAAGCACGCCCCAGAAACTGCCTGACCCAGATCGGATTTTAACCTAGAAATGTGCAGCTGTGCTAACACCTTCTCAGTCCAAATAAATCCACAGAGGTGTTTCCACACTCTGTGAAACTCCCGTGGGATCGGAGGGGGCCATTTCCTGCCATACCCCAGTGGCAGTGTGCATTCACCCATCCAGGCAAAGGTGTTCCCTCCTGGGGCAGGTAACAGGCACGGCCACGGGTGCTTAGGGCCCCGTGCCGCTGTCACAGGCTCTCTGCAGGGCAGGGAGGGCTGCCCCAAAAGCAGAGCCCAGACTGCTGCCCCCAAGCCCTGTGCCTCCCTCCAGCCGCCGGGATCTCGTGGCCAGGCTCCTGCTGCGACCTTCCTGAAGTCCCTGATGTGAGCGCCCGCGAAGCGCCCTCTCCATGGAGGATTTTCAAGCCTTTGATTTGATTTCCGCACAGAAGCAATTGTCGCAATTATTCTGATTAGGAACAATTAGGTAACACAGCGGTGGAAATCCTGACAGAGACAATGCATCGAACGGCAACCTGCAGCCCGAGCGGGCTCTGCTTGAGGAGGTTTCCTTCCCTATCTGACTACCAACAAAAGCTATTGATGGAGAAATACTCCCGAGCTAATTAAGCCCTAAATGCTGTAGGAATTCAACATTAAGCAGATGGCATTATTAGGGCTCTATCTGCATTCGCACATCCTCCAGATTAGATTTCAGAGGCATTTTCCTTCTACACCACGTGTATTATCGAGCGTTTAAACAGGTAGAAAAAATTAATTTAATAAAGTGCTGAGGGAGGGAAAGAAAAAAAGAAGGCAGAGCTCCCAGAGCAGTGATCTCGAGCAGCGTCGTGGTGCTTTAAAACTGGCTCAAGAGAGAATCGCCTCTTCTCCTATCTACTGGCAGGAGTTTGGATATCTTGTCAGTACCCTTGACATGAACAGCTGGAGATGACAGATCAATGGTTCAATACTCTCAGCAGCGTGTCACTGACGTGACAGCAAATGTTATTCTAATGAAGCTGTAATCATAGTCAAATTACGCGGTTCGATTCTCAGCAAGGGGAGGGTGCAGGGAGTGAGCTGAAGGGAGGCCGACAGGAGCAGAGGTCAGAGGTGAGGAAATAAAGGTTACTCTGCTTACCTCAAGCACTTGCTGGAGGCTGGGCTGCCCATCCACCATGCCTTGAATAATCCCAGTCAGCTGAAACGAGAGACAAACAGAGAGCAGGCGTCAGAGCGGCACTCAAAAGATCATTAGAAAGGGCTCCTCTCCTGTCCATCTCCCTGCGACCAAACCATGCTCCCCTGACCCTGGTGGGCACATTGCTGAGGGGCCAGCGCAGCAGGGGCACGGGCAAGGGCAGAGCTCCATCCCAAAAGCAGGACACTGATGGAGCCATGGTGTGGCTGCACACACCAACACGATGCCCCAAATGCTGCCCCCTTCCAGATCTCCAGTTCTGAAGTTGTCCCGAATTATCCAAGCAGGGCAACTACTGGGGGCTCTGGGCATGCCCCTGCTACCAGAGACACACCAAAATTGCGGTGTTAGACAAACTGCACAGGCCACTTCTGGTAAGCCAGAACCACAGCGGCTCCATCCATCCTCCTGTGCTGGGCAGCAAAAATCACAGCTGGACAGCCTGGCTGCCCGAAGGCAGGGCACATGCACAAGATGTGGTCCCACGGGCCTTTGCCTGCATTGCCCAGGCTTGCTGGAGGCACACAGAAAACAGATAATTTTTCTGTCTGCCTTCCAAGTGACAAAACTGTCTTTTCCCATATTGAATATCGGAGGTCAGTAGCTTGCCATCAATGCACCTAAGTAATTAAAAAAATCATTATCAAACCGAGCGCACGCCACGGGATTTTGCTTCATCTGGCGCCTTCCTCAAGCTACCCACACCTCGCACGTTTTCATAACGTGGAGCTCAGGGTGTGCCTGGCTGCACACCCTGCCACCCGCACGTGGAGCCACAGCATCCACCCGAGAGCATCCTCCGGGCACCTTCCCTGCAGGGCAGAGCTCACCGATGTGCACACCACAAACCCTGCCCCAAACTGTAGGGTTAAGCTTCATGAAAAGCACGGCAGCCGAAAGCAGCTCAGCTGCTTCCACCTCTCTGTCTCGCTGGCGCCTCGGCTTACAGCACTGAACTCGGAAGGAAGGGAAAAAAAAAAAAAAAAAAAAAAAAAAAAAAAGAAGAGATTAAACTCCAATTAAACTGTAATTACATTTAATGAATACCAAATACCTGACTCACTGAATAAACTGTAAGTGGAAAGATTATTTTCTCATCGTGACTTCCATGGAATGGTAATATATACCTTTTAGGGAAAGGATTTTAATTTTAAGGATGTAGAGTTCCTCTAGGTGGGTTTCTCAAGTTCATCAAGCCATTATGAGGTGGAATTTTAAGGAAGTGGAGAGACACACACGCTCTCATATTCCAGAAACTGTTTTTATATTAATCTGTATTTTAATTGGGTAACAGCTGCTGCCTACAGACTTCCTGTATTCTAGGAGGCAAATAGATTTAGGAGATTAATGCGTGGCTCTTCCGAGCATTTTTCAAAGCTCCCTGCCTTGTTTCTTCCTCCCCTCGCTGTCCTCCTCTCCAGGTATTTGCCCAGCAGATGTGGGCAGCTCACCTCACCACAAGGGGCTGCCTCTGGCTCTCAGGGCAGCTCAGACCAAACCCCTGGGAGCAGATGACAGGCGAGCATCTGGGGAGATGCCCGGCACCTCCTGTACCACCGTTAGTGGCTTCTGCTGCTCCTGGTACCTGCAGGACCGCATCGCTCAGCACCACAAGGGACCAGATTTCTCCCCTCTCACACTTCCTGATCCTTTCTGTTCTCAGCTGTGTAAGTCACCTCTAACACCCGCCCCAGTGCCTTGGGTTGCTGTGGTGCTGTTTGCTCGCGCAGTTTTGATAAAATATAAAAACATAAAACGGCACAATTGTAAAGTTTCACTGGCGATCCCAAGAAGCACATGGTGCTTGGGAACATAAACAAGCTATAAGGCATTTATCCTGCTGTACTTTTATTGTCTGTTCCTTCAGCAAAGAAATCAATGAAAATTTATCATAAAAAGAGAGCAAAGTACCATGAAAAAGCCCGTACAAGCACCCTGTGTGTGGAAGGAACCTCTCACTTGAGCTCCTGGCACGAGCTTTTGGGGCATCGGGCAAGCCACCTGCATCTTCCCAAAGGGTGCGAGGAGCTTTTTGTACCTAGCAGCAGCTTCCTGACCACCTGCGAGTGCTTTCCACTGTCTCTGCCAAAATGTTTGGCACCCTCTAACTGTAACCAAGCCTTAGGACTCACATTTTAAAGTCAGGTGAAGAGAGAAGGGACCAGACCTACAGAATGATCCAGCACAGAAGGTGTGCTCCTAGCTACTGGTGTGGGAGGTCAGAGGGACCTCCTGCACAGACACACCAAAACCTAACCAAAGAGATGCCCCCGAGGGTGATCATGAGCTCTCCACCTTGCAGAAACCCTTCCCATGCGGTGCTCTCTTCAAGAAGTGGAAGGTGAGGAAAGGCTCCAGGCTGGAGGAGGAGCATCAAGTGACCCCAGGAATCCTTCCACCCCAAACAGCCCGACTGCTTCCTGCCAAAGCGAGGAGCAGAGAGGGGAAAGCAGCAGCACAGCAGCCAGGCTCTTGTGCAATGTCAACACCGCTGCTTTGCTACAGAGTTTATCTGGGAAACCATCGTATTTCTACTCCAAGACAGTTTGCTGATTACCTAAGCACTTGTCTCTGGTGTACAATCTGATAATCAGGCCCGGTCTTTCTTTGTAGACAAAGAGGCCAATAAATCTCACCCTTTGTAAGTAGAGGTGCACAGACAAAGCCCTTTACTGGCATTTAGCAAAATAGGTATTTTTCAGAAAACAGAAAGCAGCTGAAAGCTGAAGGCAAGTGCTGGAGCCGGGCAGGCAGTGGCTGTTTGGGAGCTGGATGTAGGGCAGAGCCAGCAGTGCTGGGGCGCTGCCTGGCCACACCACAGCACCCCCGGGTCCCCCCGGCACTACAGCCTCTGCAAAAAGCAGCTGCAAGTGACAGAGGGATAAAGAAACAGCAGGAGGAAGGATGCAGCTGAAACGGTATGTCAGTGCGAGTTCATTAGTGAGATGACTTCTCTGGTACAAAGAGGTACAAAACTTACATTTGGGGCCCTTCTCTAGAAGGTAACATTGCTCCTAGCAGAGATCAGGTGCAACTGGGAAATTTGTCACAGCACACGTTTTGCAAGCATACAGCCAGTGAGTCTCATGTGGGTAGGGCCAGCCCAAGTAGTTGTCCAGCCTTCCAGTACTATGCTTGCAGAAATGTCTCCGTTAGAGCTATAAATGAGTGAGAATGGAGGGCTTTCTGAAAGCCCCTCTCCTGAGAGTGATGTTTTCTGGGCTTACTCTTTTTTTTCTTTTCCTTTTAGTTTAAATAAAATACCTTTGGCTGGGTTTTAGTTACAGAAGAATGAAAAAAAAAAGTGTGTGTATATAAATACAGGTTTTGTTTTCTTATTTATTTTTACAATGTGCAGACACAGAAGGGGCTAGCTGGTCCTGGAAGACGTTTCACTTAACACACTGGGAGCCATTTTTCATCCAACTAGTAGGTGGAGGACAAGCATGTCAAAGGCCAAAACCTGCAGCTGCAGAGGCTGCAACAAACACACCGTGGTGTCAAGGAGCCTGGATGAGACCAGGCCTGAACAAAAGACTCGGATGCCCCGATCCCACAGTCGGTGCTTTAGTTACGGAGCTGGCCAACATCTGAACAGTGAAATAACAGGAAAAAAAAACAACAAAGCAAACAGAACTTATAAACTCTGTGCTGATGGCTACAGCAGGGAGGAAGTGCTCACTTGCAGAAACAGTTAACTTAGTGTTGAATGAAATAAATAAATAAAAATAAATCAAGCCCCCTTTCCTTTGAACCACCAGGGCTCACATTTACCCAGTTCCTTGCATGCTGCCTTCATCCTCTCAGCCCTGTCTCGGGAAAGGTGGCTGCAGCTCCAGAGCAGCTGTCCTCGGCAATGAGGAACCAAGGAACAAGATGCCACTTCTCCACAAGCACGTCATCAGTCTTAAAAATCCTGATGTTGGTTATCTTACCACTCTGAGGGGCTCATCAAACCACACTGGAGAGTCACAGCTCCGAACCACGGAGCAATACGATGCGTCCTCCCCCTGAGCCACGCTCTCTTTTTTAACCCTCCCCACCAACGAGCACGTGGCACAATCACAAAGCTCAGAGAGAGGCTGCAGCATTCTGCACGTCAGCTAACACACAGCAGTGCTTTCATTTTGTGGTCACCCAGCAATATCTTCGTTAGTTGTGAATAGAACTGATCTTAGCTAGCAGATCATAACCAGGAACACTGATTATGAACCCAAACGGAGGCCTCTGCATGCTACAACAATGACAAAATGATCCCCCGTGTCCTTAACGTGAGGCTGGCGTGCCACCCTGCCTTGCAGCTGCACTGTGAAGAGGCGGCCCCGACCCCGGTGCAATGGAAACCTGCTCCCCAGGGAGACTCTCGGAGCACCAGGGAACCTTTGCACTTTACCTCTGTGCAGAAGGGCGTAAGCTGGGGATGCACCACAGGCTGAACATACATGTGAAAGGTGGATTCGATCTCCATCGTCCTGCCATTCAGCTTCAGGATTGGGAATTCGATGATCTCCTGCATAGGACACAAAGGAAAGCAGCTGTTCATTTAAACCAAACAGAAAAGGAAGCAGGATACGATCCAGCTTCTGTCTGTCCAGCAAGGACATCCCAGGGGCTGCCTGACGCCCAGTGCCACCCTCTCCATCCACCTCACGCTGCTTTTGGATGCCACCAGGAGCTCTTTCACGCTTGCAGGCTCCTGCACGAAGCAGCTCCTTCCATGGAGAGGCTGAAAACAGAGGCACACGGAGCACGGCCACCAAGGGAGGAGAACTGGGAGCCCCCCCAAACCACCCCTCTGCAATATAGCACAGCAGCGAGCCCTGCTTCATTCTCCTCTTTGTAGCCGATTTATGCTGATAGGGAAATAAAAACGTTCTTCATCAGAAGAATGTTCGGTTATTTGAATAATCAGCAATCAAAAATTTACACGGACCTGTTAATAAAAAGTTTAAACAAATTCGGTTACGATGGATTTCACAATTATTAAAAAATACGCGTGGAATTAAAAAAGCCGACCGCTGAATAAAAGCGATAAAATCCTTTGTGCTCGTGCCCCTCCTTCCTCGCTCCCTCTCCTCCTTCCAGTTTAATGTAAGAGGAGAAGTGACAATTTGTTTGGTGTCTTTAAAGAATAATTTGTCTATGTTATTTAATAGAGATGCATGGCACCAAGGTTCCGGAGTGCAAATGAGCCCGCTGAGTGATATCCATGCAACAAGCCTCTCAAATCACTTCTGGAGAGAAACGGGGAGAGGGAGAGAGAATAAAAAAAAATATTGCTTTTTAATATTCAAAAACAGTTTGCAAAATTTAATCAAAGCAGAGCAAAAGCTAACATTTTTACCACTTTGACATTTTTATTAGCGCTTTCATAAATTTTTAAAACATGAATGGAATTAGTTTAACAACAAAAAAAACTGCCTGAAAACATCTGGAAGAGACAAATAAGAAATAAAAAAAAGGACAAAAAAAAACCCTAACTCCTGCGAGTAAAATTAGCATGTAGAAAAGGCAGTCGCTGCAGAGGAGCTGACACAGTTTTTGCACCCTGGCTGCAACCCCCGTGACCCGCAGGCGGAAATTATCGTGAGGTCACGTATGGGAGCTGCTGACATCACCTCCCCAGCAGGCAGGGGGACGGCGAGAGGATGGGTGGGGAGATGGAAATAACAAATAATTCAAATAGCCGGGGGAAACACCCTGCAGCCCCGCTGGGGACAGCCCATGGGTGCGTGTACCTGGCCCTGACCAGGGTGTGATGCAAGGGGCATGTGCCTGCTGCGATGGGAAGCTGGAAAAATAAAGGAAATAAATGTTAGTAAGTGCCCAGGTGGAGACACTGAGAAGTCAAATGGTTTCCCCAGGGCCAGCTATGCTGCACGCAGCGCTCACATACACCAAGAGAAGAGGTTTGGGAGCATCCTTCCCCACTGACAGCCACCAGGAGTGACCACGTTTCCCGCTGCTGGGAAGGGGCAGGGAGGAGGATGCAGAGGCAAAATGCCTGCACGTGGCCCAGGTGGCTGGTGGTGCAGCCCAAGTCCCCAGCTTTGGCCACACAGCATCTCCCGTGCAAACAGGAGAGCCTGACTCCGAACGAGGACACAGCTGCACGGGGCGCTCCCTTCAAAGCAACCATCACGGATGGACACTGATCAAAGAAAGCATCTGTTCAGAAGGCAAACGGACTGTGAAATTCAGATCCAGTGACAGGACGGTGTAAAAGAGCCAGCTCTAACCTAGCACAGCACCACTGTGCCCCCAAATAGCACACCTGGTCCCAAAAGGGGCTGGGGAAGCCGCCCTGGAGGTCTGCACGGGGTGAACATCGCACCGGGTGAGCCTACAGCGGGGCGAGGAGAGGGCTCAGCCCCCCGAGAAGGGCAGGCACAGGCTGCATTTCCCAGCAGGGCTGCGTTGCAATGCAGAGCTCGGTCCCACGGGACCAGCGATGTCCTCAGGGGCCATCAAGCGGCTGGATGCGAAGCCGGGCTGAATCCCAGGCACAAAGGAGTCGCCTGCCTCCGAGAACCACAGGCAAAAAAAAAAAAAAAAAAAGCACTTCCAGGAGGGTCGGATTAAAACAGACGGAGGAAATAAAAGAAATAAAAAGCTCTACTTAAAAAAAAAAAGTGGAAAATTTAACAATACCCAGCGTTACGGCAGGGCTGGGGGGGGCGTGCGGCCAGGCAGCCGGGGTGGGACCCGCGGAGCGATTTGAAGGGCTCGGGAGAAGGAGCGGCAGCTCTTTTGGGCTTATTTGGTCAGTTTTTTTAAGCGAGCGGTAAAGGAGCTTTCCCAAAAGGCTGTTTATCTGCACGCTTCCTCTGGCGGAGATTTTTCCAGTCTCTGGCAATGTTTGCTCCACTGGTATCTAAGGCAACAGATACCAGCCCCATGAAATCAGCCCCACTCCTCACTAACGACGTTAGCCAGTCCTGCAATGAAATTTAACCTGTGACACTGCTGTACTTTTCATTTAAACTTTCATTTGGAGAGAAGCAGTGTTTGGAGACCCTGCAGTTTGTCCTGCTAATAAAGACAAGTGTTGGGACCTTTAAAGGTGCCATTCATCTTTTGCCTTTATTAAATTCAATTTTCTTAAGCCCATGATACATCATGAAATTAAGAGTTGACATTCCTGCAGAAACAAAAATATCTATCAAACATAAACAGAAAGGGGGGAAAAAAGAGCCCTCTATTACCATGAATTTATGGCTCAAAGTTGATCTGTTTCCACTTTTTTTTTTTATTTTAACAAGCATATGGTTTGTTTTAGATATCCGAAATGTTATTACGGATCTAGAATTTCATTAGTAATTATTACGAAATGGTGAGCACTCAGACACACACGCACACCCCCAACAGCCCGCCTCTCCGGCAGGCAGCCGGGCGCTCGCTCACGTTTCACGACAGCCTGGCGAGCTTAAAATACTCAGCTCCCTCCACCACGGGCTTTCTTTGCTTTCCTCCAGGTGGGGAAAGGCAGAGGAGAGCGGGGGAATTAACAGCAGCTCGCTGTCGTCTCCTTTCTTCCAGCAGCCTGATGGTTCTTACGTGCTGCCCGGAGATCTCCACGCACTGCCACGCGCTGCGACGTCGCCTGCTGCCAGCAGCACTGGGGGCTTTGAGGTCTCGCCCCCCTGCAGCTGCTCCTGGCAGCACAGCCACAAGTTCGGGACGTGCTCCAACGATGCTGCGGAGGTCCAGAGCCTGCAAAGAGCCACGAGCTCCCAGCAGAACAAATGCCCCCGCTCGAGTTTTGTAAGCGCCGCAATTAGGTGCTTTATTTACCGCTGCAAAGCGGCTTGAAAGGAAATCCAGGAGTCAAAGCAGCAGCAATAAATAAGCGGCTTTTTATTTTTTTCCTTCCCTCGCCCGGGAAAAGTTGAGCGTGTTTTGTGTTGAGACATTCTGCGCGCGGCTCCCAATTACAGGCATTTGCATTTATATTGTTGGAACACAGCGCTCCTCAAATCAATATTAACACGCTTAGAGGAAGAGGCAGCGGCACCCTGCCCTCCCCTGCGCTGCTCCCCCAAACCCCTGAACAATAGGAACCCGCAGAGCCCTGGGCTTATCCAGATCCATTACGGGGCCACTCTCTGCACAACCACCTTGCCTGTATGATTTCAGGGCATTTCGCACAAATCCACGTGCCACCTTGCCCAGATTTTTTTGCTTTTCTTGTTTCTTTAAAATATTTCCCCCAAAAGAGGTACCCGATGCAAGCCCTCCGTGCAACCTGGCTGTCCCACGGCGGGCATGCTGCAGGGCACTGCACAACAGCTACAGATTTCCCCTTAAAAAGCATTTGAAAAATTCCTAAGGGTGTGTGAAATCACGCCTATAAAGGCAGCTTTTCCCTGCACGACCATCCTAAACGCAGCTCCCCTCCCTGCAACACCCGAGCGGGGATGCAAGCAGTCAGCTGCCTTGATTTTCCTGATAATAGCAGCGATGACCAAGCAGACAACCACTCGTACTAAACGCTCTCCTGTACCAGCACAGACCTCTGGTTCAGAAGGGCAAGCAGCTGAAACTGCACTGATTTCCACAGCGGAACCTTTCTGCTCATCATTTCGGGTCCGGGAGCACTGGCATTACGAGGCTAAAGGAATACGATGCCCTGCAGGACTTCCCGGCCCTCAAAACCTTTCAGTCCAGAAGGCGGCGTGAGAAGAGGACAGGGCACACTTCGGGAGACTGATTTATATATTTGAGGGAGGCCGTGTGGCCTATTCAGTTCAAAAACTACCAGGGAATAATTTATCCCTTACTCCCACCCCCATTTGAAGAAGTTTAATAAACACGAGAATAAAAGATGCCCATAAAAATCAGAGCTGACTGTTCAAAACGCAATAAAAACAAGCAGATGCCTTTGAGAGAAAGGGATATTTTTTTTTTCTGATAGGGAAAAGCATAAAACTTCCTACCCAAAGACTGCTTTACACCTTCAAAAAGGTAAGGGGGGAGAGGCAGGGGAGTCTGACAGAGGGGACAGGCTCAGCACCAGCTCGTTTTGTTCAGTTTGTTCTTTTTTTGTCCCGTCTTTCAAGAAAAAAAGTCATTTTATGCACAAGGAGCTTATTTCTTAAACAAACACTCGTGTTTTTGATTTACACCACGGGCTGCTCCTAAATAATTTATGGCGGGTTAAATTTATTGCACAGCCCTGGCCGGCTGCAAATTCGAATTGCCAAATAATTAGATTTTAGGGCAATGCTTATAAATTATCCGCCGATTTGTCCGGACTTGTTTGTCAGTTGCTTTGTGCTTCGGGTCATCTTTGGCATTTCGCTGTTTGTGTTTTAATTGCTGATTTACACTTTGACAGATGAGAGTTGATGCCTCCAAGATCCGGGAGGGGACGGGGGGGGGGTGGTGAAGAGCAGGAAGAATCAGAGCTTTTAAAGGCTTGTGATTCTCCTTTTTTTTTCCAAGGCAATTAAAATAGAAAAGGGACATGGTAAGGACAGCCTAGCCTAACAGGTCTGCCTCCCCTGCTTC